GGGGGGGGAGAGAAGGATGTGATTGTTACACTGGGGGGGGCTGATTGTCACGCTGGGGGGGGGGGAGAGAAGGATGTGATTGTTACACTGGGGGGGGCTGATTGTCACGCTGGGGGGGGGAGAGAAGGATGTGATTGTTACACTGGGGGGGGGGCTGATTGTCACGCTGGGGGGGGGGAGAGAAGGATGTGATTGTTACACTGGGGGGGGCTGATTGTCACGCTGGGGGGGAGAAGGATGTGATTGTTACACTGGGGGGGGGGCTGATTGTCACGCTGGGGGGGGAGAGAAGGATGTGATTGTTACACTGGGGGGGCTGATTGTCACGCTGGGGGGGGGGAGAGAAGGATGTGATTGTTACACTGGGGGGGGGACCTGATTGTCACGCTGGGGGGGGGGTCGGGGGGGGGGAAGGACCTGATTGTTACACTAGGGGGGGCGGGGGGGAGAGAAGGATCTGATTGTTACACTAGGGGGGGACCTGATTGTCACGCTGGGGGGGGGGGCCGGGGGGGAGGATCTGATTGTTACACTGGGGGGGGGACCTGATTGTCACGCTGGGAGGGGGGGGGGGAAGAGAACACACAATACACCTCTCAAACGCACAATACTCATTGCAATTAAGAATATGAAAATCTCCATAGCAGGTCTGAGAAATGGCTTCTAGACCTCAACCCTGACAAATGCAAGGGTATGAGGATAAAACCACTACCCAAGGAACAAATCAAAACTAGAAAATAACAAAAAAATATGTAAAAAGGATCGTTCTAGGGCCAAGGGGACTAATCTGAGGACTGACTGAGGAAACTGAACCTCACTACACTCTTGGAAGGAATAAAGCAGACATGACAACGACATGCAAGATAACAAGAGGATTGATAAAATATAGAAACAATATCCAAATTAAGGAACAGAAGAACAAGAGGACATAACTGGAACACAGACGAATCACACAGATGTCAGAAACATCTTTATCATTCTTAGAGTTGTAAATAGCCGATTAGACGAGCAAGTTGCCGATACCCAATTCAATTACACATTATTAAATAAAAGAAATATAAGAAAAAATGAGTGAAAAGAGTGGCTGCACTGACCAACTAATGGTCAGAAAGCCGGGGTTCAAGAGCAGGCGCCCGACCTGTAAGGACAGTCAGGAGAGTACAACTAGGAGAGTACACACACTCTGTGGTAATGGTCTAACTACCCCCCCCCCACTCCCCCCTCCACGACTTTTTACGGTATTTTCATAGGAATTAAAAGGAAAATGATTTTCAGGTTCTAATGAGAACTATTAGACTCGACTCCCGTGCTTTGCTCTGCTGCCTTGTACCGTCACGCTGGCAGGTCACGCTGGTTGGTCACGCTGGCAGATCACACTGGCAGATCACACTGGCAGATCACCCTGGCAAATCACACTGGCAGACCACCCTGGCAGATCACCCTGGCAGATCACACTGGCAGATAACCCTGGCAGCTCACACTGGCAGATCACCCTGGCAGATCACCTTGGCAGATCACACTGTCAAGTCACACTAGCAGATCACACTGTCAAGTCACACTAGCAGATCACACTGTCAAGTCACACTAGCAGACCACACTGTCAAGTCACACACAGAGATCCCAACGTCGTTCCGTTCCACTTGGCCCCAAACATCATTAACATTCACGACTGCAACATGTGAAGGAGGGAGCGATGGACCGACGACTGTTTACCTGCTCACGTGTCTCCTAATTAACCTGCACTCATCACCGCTCTCGCAGAGATGGACGGTAATGTGTCCAAATTGGTCGCACGACGTCATGCCGCCCACCCCGATGGTCTGGATTGGTCGCGCGCCTTGTATGTGTTCATTAGTGTGATGAACGCATACAAGAGAGAGAGAGAGAGAGAGAGAGAGAGAGAGAGAGAGAGAGAGAGAGAGAGAGAGAGAGAGAGAGAGAGAGAGAGAGAGAGAGAGAGAGAGAGTGAGAGAGATTATACGTGACACTTTTCGTGGAGTTCCCAGAGATGGGCTCAGGAACCTCCCTACCTCTCTCTTTCTCTCTCTCTCTCCCTTCCCCTCTCTCTCTCTCTGTATCTCTCTCTCTCTCTCTCTCTCTCTCTCTCTCTCTCTCTCTCTCTCTCTCTCTCTCTCTCTCTCTCTCTCTCTCTCTCTCTCTCCCTCGCTCCTCCGGTGCCAGCCCCACGACGCAGGAAGCCTCTGACCCCGGCACAAACCACAGACGTATTTACACAAGGGGTTAATTAATCACAGCCGAAGAGAGACGCTAATTTAGCGTTAAAGCTCTTGACAAATCCCGTGTGGGTGGCCGAGACTTGGTGATGGTGGCCTCCTGTCTGATGGTGATGGTGGCCTCCTGTCTGATGGTGATGGTGGCCTCCTGTCTGATGGTGATGGTGGCCTCCTGTCTGATGGTGATGGTGGCCTCCTGTCTGATGGTGATGGTGGCCTCCTGTCTGAGGGTGATGGTGGCCTCCTGTCTGATGGTGATGGTGGCCTCCTGTCTGATGGTGATGGTGGCCTCCTGTCTGATGCTGATGGTGGCGGTGGCCTCCTGTCTGATGGTGATGGTGGCCCTCCTGTCTGATGGTGATGGTGGCCTCCTGTCTGAGGGTGATGGTGGCCTCCTGTCTGAGGGTGATGGTGGCCTCCTGTCTGAGGGTGATGGTGGCCTCCTGTCTGAGGGTGATGGTGGCCTCCTGTCTGAGGGTGATGGTGGCCTCCTGTCTGATGGTGATGGTGGCCTCCTGTCTGATGGTGATGGTGGCCTCCTGTCTGAGGGTGATGGTGGCCTCCTGTCTGAGGGTGATGGTGGCCTCCTGTCTGATGGTGATGGTGGCCTCCTGTCTGATGGTGATGGTGGCCTCCTGTCTGATGGTGATGGTGGCCTCCTGTCTGATGGTGATGGTGGCCTCCTGTCTGATGGTGATGGTGGCCTCCTGTCTGATGGTGATGGTGGCCTCCTGTCTGATGGTGATGGTGGCCTCCTGTCTGATGGTGATGGTGGCCCTCCTGTCTGATGGTGATGGTGATGGTGGCCTCCTGTCTGATGGTGATGGTGATGGTGGCCTCCTGTCTGATGGTGATGGTGGCCTCCTGTCTGATGGTGATGGTGGCCTCCTGTCTGAGGGTGATGGTGGCCTCCTGTCTGATGGTGATGGTGGCCTCCTGTCTGATGGTGATGGTGGCCTCCTGTCTGAGGGTGATGATGGCCTCCTGTCTGAGGGTGATGATGGCCTCCTGTCTGATGGTGATGGTGGCCTCCTGTCTGAGGGTGATGGTGGCCTCTTGTCTGAGGGTGATGGTGGCCTCCTGTCTGAGGGTGATGGTGGCCTCCTGTCTGAGGGTGATGGTGGCCTCCTGTCTGATGGTGATGGTGGCCTCCTGTCTGATGGTGATGGTGGCCTCCTGTCTGAGGGTGATGGTGGCCTCTTGTCTGAGGGTGATGGTGGCCTCCTGTCTGAGGGTGATGGTGGCCTCCTGTCTGAGGGTGATGGTGGCCTCCTGTCTGAGGGTGATGGTGGCCTCCTGTCTGATGGTGATGGTGGCCTCCTGTCTGATGGTGATGGTGGCCTCTTGTCTGAGGGTGATGGTGGCCTCCTGTCTGATGGTGATGGTGGCCTCCTGTCTGATGGTGATGGTGGCCTCCTGTCTGCTGCTGATGGTGATGGTGGCCTCCTGTCTGCTGCTGATGGAGGGCTCCTGTCTGCTGCTGATGGTGAAGATGGCCTCCTGTCTGCTTCTGACTTGATTAAGTATACTCTGATGTCGCGTCAGAGGTGATGGTTATAGTAGTGGTGGTGATAGTAGTGGTGGTGATAGTGGTGGTGGTGATAGTGATGGTGATAGTGATGGTAATAGTGGTGGTAGTGGTGATATCAATGGTATTATTTCATCGTAATCTGTCCTACAAAAATTATTACACTTAGTAACTATTGGTGTAACGAACAAAAATGAACTGCCAAAAATGTTCACGTTTTGGTCTACTGAAACAATCCAAATGGGGTTCTAAACGGTATATATAACTCCACAATCTAACCCAGGCCTGACTAAACAAGCCTAGCTAGGCCTTATTAAGTACATCTATGTGCTATATTAGGCCTAGGAAAATTTGGGTTTGGTTATTGTCTTCTTTCTCCTCTCTTCAACCACATTAACAGCTCAACAATCAACTTGTTTGGTTGCAACGGTTCATTTTTGAACGTTCAACCAATTGTTGCTAAATTGTATTATCATTTTTGAATGACGGTGAGGGGAAAATGTTGTTGTTGTTGTTAAATGTTAAAATATAACTCATAAACCAATAACAGAAATATTCCCTTTTACACAGCATTTTAATTTATAAATTCTTTTAATAAATAACTTTATACGTGTACATCCATTTATGAGTTACTCATCCAACATTATTTGCAAAATTTCATTGTACAAGAAAAATGCAATATTAAACAAGTTAATATCGCGCATACATAATGGAATGCATTAGGCAGTGATGTGGTGCTCTATACACAGCTTCAAGTGTAGATATTATAGAGCCCAGTAGGCTCAGGATCCTGTACACCAGTTGATTGACGGTTGAGAGGCGGGACCAAAGAGTCAGAGCTCAACCCCCGCAAGCACAAATAGGTGAGTACACACACACACACACACACACACACACACACACACACACACACACACACACACACACACACACACACACACACACACACACACACACCACGCAAATAGAGTGGTAGACGGTTGGAACAAGTTAAGTGAGAAGGTGGTGGAGGCCAAGACCGTCAGTAGTTTCAAAGCGTTATATCACAAAGAGTGCTGGGAAGACGGGACACCACGAGCGTAGCTCTCATCCTGTAACTACACTTAGGTAATTACACACACACACACACACACACACACACACACGTGACATACTGACCAACACAGGTGAGTAGACACCCCCACACACACACAGTCCTCCACACAGTCAAACACTAAGAGACAGGAGGAAGGAAGTACCTGGAGATAGTGTAGATGATGAGAGAGTTGCCGAGGATCCCCAGCAGGAGGGTGATAACGTAGACGGTGAGGGGCGGCAGCAACTCGTCCCAGTAGTAGGTGTTCAGCGACTCGTCCAGGTCGTACTCGTAGATGTCGTAGTCCTCCACGGGTAGTGGAGAGGTGTGGTTGTCGTGGTGGGGAAGAGGAGGTCGGGGCGCTTCCGGCACCCCCTCTTCTTCCTCCCCTCGGTCAGATGGATGCATTAAAGGTGACATAATCCGGTGGTTATAGTCTTTATTTTCCCCTTATTACTAATTCCCCTTATTCACTTCTGTCTCTCTATCGGCTGCATTTGTGCCTTGTCAAACGCGGGGTTTCAATATTAATGCTAATTAGGCCATTTTGTTTGCAGGTAAGAATGTAATTGACAAGAGAACTCCCCCCCTCCCACAAAGTCAGAATAGTTACATAGCATTGTCTGTGTCACATAATATTCCAGTTTGAGATATCAGTCTGGATGCCACCACGGATGGAACATAAGCCAAGCGTTATGTTGTGTTCAACGAGGACTCCCACTTAACGCCAATTGGCTACAAAAACAATGCCTGCCGTCTTAAGTGGTTGGGCACCATTCCTTTCCCCCCGTCCCATCCAAACTCCTTGTCCTAAACCCCTTCCGAGTGCTATATAGTCATAATGGCTTGACGCTTTTCCCTGAAAATTCCCTCGTGTTTGTAATTACTCTTTTAAGAAGTTATTTAACATTTTTATTATTTGATAATAACCGCACTGGTTTAACAAGATAAAAGCCACTTACGACAGACCTGCGAAGCGCCCCGTTTTGAGAACTGTCGTAGCTGTCCCTTCCGAGCAAGTGCCGTTGCTGGTGACCATAAAGGAACATGGTTTAAACATTACAGTAGCATCTTTCGCCCGCTAATGTGTCTCGTGTGTGCGATGCCTCGTTACCACCTCTCTCCCGCACTTCCAGTAACGTCTAATATTGTGCGCCGCACCAATAACGCTCCCCCCAATTCCACGCCGTGACACGAACGCACAATAGCCTCACAGTAACCTTGGCTGGTCTTCACTACCTGTAATAATATCTCACACACACACACTCACACACACACACACACACACACACACACACACACACACACACACACACACACACACACACACACACACACACACACACACACACACACACACACACACACACACACACAAGTGTAAACATTCACGTCACCCTCACGACCGTCTTGACTATCGTACCCTCGGGGGCGTGAGAACGTACCCGAGGCCACAATCTAAAGGAGGCCAGCGACCAGCCCCATGGTAGGAAGGCCCTCTACCCAAAAGAATTTAATGGTTCATTTAAGCTTCCTCCCGGCACTGCCGTTACTTTGAGGTAGTTTCTCTTGGTGTATTGTAGTGCTTTCTCTGTTGTCTCGCCTGCCTCCTGCCGCTGCCTCTCACAAACATTCTCACCGGCAATTTACCTGCAGGGAATATTTCAGCTAGATTTTGCGATCTTCCCAACTTACGGTGAGGGTGTTTGCGCTTCCCTTGCCTAGGGCCGAGGACTATGAAGCATACTTAAAAAAAGACTAAAAAATTGAGTGACAGACTCACGATTGTCAGCAGACAACGAAGAACGTCTTAGTTTTCTGCTCTGTTTTTATGTCAGATTACGATTGCAATACACCAGATGCTTCGAGAAGCAGAGCGAGATAGAGAAGTGACTGGAAGTCGTACGGAATCTGTCATATCAAGTCGTATCAATCTGAGCGCTGCCTCCCACTACCATCACTTCAACGGCTCGGCTTGAAAAAAACAACTTCGACTCAAATAACAAAAATTGACCGTATATGAGCCATAGACACGTCAGAACACGTCGTAATCAAGTCCTGACACGCCTCCAACACGTTAAAACACGTTGTAAACGTGTCAGACCACTCCAGGATATGTCCTAATCACGTCATTCGTACTGTTCCCATTTAAACACCGTCGTCTCAACATCGTCAACATCTCCCCCTCTACCGATAACGTGTCCCCTCGGCGTTGCATCTTTTTTTTTTTTTTTTTTTTTTTTTTTTTTTTTTTTTTTTTTTTTTTTTTTTTTTTTTTTTTTTTTTTTTGAGATATATACAAGAGTTGTTACATTCTTGTACAGCCACTAGTACGCGTAGCGTTTCGGGCAAGTCCTTAATCCTATGGTCCCTGGAATACGATCCCCTGCCGCGAAGAATCGTTTTTTCATCCAAGTACACATTTTACTGTTGTGTTAAACAGAGGCTACAGTTAAGGAATTGCGCCCAGTAAATCCTCCCCGGCCAGGATACGAACCCATGACACAGCGCTCGCGGAACGCCAGGCGAGTGTCTTACCACTACACCACGGAGACTGCTAAAACCGACAAAACGGACTAAAACGGACTAAAACGGACTAGAACCGACTGCATCTATGTTGCGTCGGTTCAGAGCGCAATATCAACCCAAACATTTCTTTTTCCTTTCAGCGCCGCAAATTTTTAAATGAAAAAACGCGGCGGCTTTTCAAAACTTTGGGGGAAATTTTTTTCGGTTCGAGATGAATGAGGCGTCGAGTGTCACTTTATGACCGGAATTTGAAATATATATTTTTATTTTAGGCTTTACAATAAATGGTTACTCGGTAAAAAGTGATTTTTCAGGTTTTAATTTATCATGCTGTTATCGCATCGATATTGTTTTTATATCTCACTAAGCTTGATTCTATGTCTTCATATGGCCACGGTAAGATTTAACCGTCACTTTCAGACAGATTCAACGTCACTTTCAGACAGATTCACAGTCCCTTCAAGACAGATTCAACGTCGCTTCAAGGCAGCTTCACCGCCACTTCAAGACAGACCCACCATCACCTCAAGACAGCTTCACCGCCACTTCAAGACAGCTTTACCGTCACCTCAAGACAGCTTCACCGTCACAAGACAGACTCACAAAGAGAGAGCGACCAAGCGGGCGGTAAATGACAATATTGCCGTCTAAACCATCGCTGTCACACACACAACTGACCAGTTTGCTGGAGAATCATTCCCCTGTAAAATGAAACAATTGTTCGGTTGTACGATTTGTTCGGACGAACGGATTATTCGGACGAATTCATTGTTCGCGTGAACGAGCTATTCGGACAGATGAGTTGGATTGATAAATTAATTGTTTGGAAGAATGCATTGTTTGGATAAATGAATGGTTCGGATAAGTGAATTGTTCGGATAAAATGAATTGTTCGTACAAATGAATTGTTAGGATAAATGTATAATGTTGTATAAATGTTCGGATAAGTGAATTGGAGTACTTTTTTTGTATGCAATTAATGGCACTCGGCTTAGTCGAGGACAAGTTGCTACCATTTGCTGTTTTAATGCCTTAACTTAATGTCCTCGTTACGGTCACAATAATTGGTGAACGATGCCGTTAGTAGATTTTATTAGCTTGCTCTCATAAGCTTGTTTCGTTAATACCCCACGTCTGCTTCGTTAATCCCCCACGTCTGCTTCGTTAATATCACGTCTGCTTCGTTAATCCCCCACGTCTGCTTCGTTAATATCACGTCTGCTTCGTTAATATCACGTCTGCTTCGTTAATCCCCCACGTCTGCGTTGCAAACAGATCCAACACGCCCCAAATACACAAATTCCTAGAAATATATATTATGTAAACAATTACCTTACGTTCTCCAGCAATTACATTTATATCCTCAACAAATGAGTGTGTTTACTGTGTGATGAAGAACAAACACACTGTTCTTGTTCTCGAGTTTTGTTTGTCTTGATGTATATTATATAAAAGTATATTATATAGTCTTCTGATTTATAGTTTAACTGTTTATGTTTCAGACAATTTTTTGTTTTTATCTTTATTTTTATTTTTGTTATTCTAGTGAGGTTTTATTTTTTTCAACGACACTAAGTTGAAAAAAAAAGTTTTATGCTTATTTTACGTTTTTTCAGCGGGGCTAAGTTGTCTTTTTTTTTTTTTTTTAGCTGCGCTGTCCTTTTTTTTTTTTTTATTTTAGCTGCGCTAAGTTTTTTTCAGCGGCACTAAGTTGTCGTTTTGTGTTTTTTCAGCGGCACTAAGTTGTCGTTTTGTGTTTTTTCAGCGGCACTAAGTTGTCGTTTTGTGTTTTTTTTCAGCGGCACTAAGTTGTCGTTTTTTTTTCAGCGGCACTAAGTTGTCGTTTAGTGTTTTTTCAGTGGCACTAAGTTGTCGTTTAGTGTTTTTTTTCAGCGGCACTAAGTTGTCGTTTGGTGTTTTCTTCAGCGGCACTAAGTTGTCGTTTGGTGTTTTTTTCAGCGGCACTAAGTTGTCGTTTGGTGTTTTTTCAGCGGCACTAAGTTGTCGTTTTGTGTTTTTTCAGTGGCACTAAGTTGTCGTTTTGTGTTTTTTCAGTGGCACTAAGTTGTCGTTTTGTGTTTTTTCAGCGGCACTAAGTTGTCGTTTTGTGTTTTTTCAGTGGCACTAAGTTGTCGTTTGGTGTTTTTTTCAGCGGCACTAAATTGTCGTTTAGTGTTTTTTTCAGCGGCACTAAGTTGTCGTTTAGTGTTTTTTCAGCGGCACTAAATTGTCGTTTTGTGTTTTTTCAGCGGCACTAAGTTGTCGTTTTGTGTTTTTTCAGCGGCACTAAGTTGTCGTTTTGTGTTTTTTCAGTGGCACTAAGTTGTCGTTTTGTGTTTTTTCAGTGGCACTAAGTTGTCGTTTTGTGTTTTTTCAGCGGCACTAAGTTGTCGTTTTGTGTTTTTTCAGTGGCACTAAGTTGTCGTTTTTTTTCAGCGGCACTAAGTTGTCGTTTAGTGTTTTTTCAGTGGCACTAAGTTGTCGTTTTGTGTTTTTTTCAGCGGCACTAAATTGTCGTTTAGTGTTTTTTTCAGCGGCACTAAGTTGTCGTTTAGTGTTTTTTTCAGCGGCACTAAGTTGTCATTTGGTGTTTTTTTCAGCGGCACTAAGTTGTCGTTTGGTGTTTTTTCAGTGGCACTAAGTTGTCGTTTTGTTTTTTTTCAGCGGCACTAAATTGTCGTTTAGTGTTTTTTTCAGCGGCACTAAGTTGTCGTTTGGTGTTTTTTTCAGTGGCACTAAGTTGTCGTTTGGTGTTTTTTTCAGCGGCACTAAGTTGTCGTTTGGTGTTTTTTTCAGATATTTTACAATATTTCTCCACCTGTGTTTACATTATATGGTCACAGTGCAAGTAACAGGGAGGACGATGACGTCACTGGCGAAATAGGGAGGACGATGACGTCACTGGCGAAATAGGGAGGACGATCACGTCACTGGCGAAATAGGGAGGACGATCACGTCACTGGCGAAATAGGGAGGACGATGACGTCACTGGCGAAATAGGGAGGACGATCACGTCACTGGCGAAATAGGGAGGACGATCACGTCACTGGCGAAATAGGAAGGTCAATGACGTCACTCTCAAGTGGCGCCATTC